CACTCATATTATTTTAAAAGAGACGATTGAATTAAATTTAAAGTTTCAAAAAGTAAGTATGTGTAAATACAACATTGCTATTGAATATTAGTATGCTATTACGTATAAATATGTTCCTGCTTGCGCAGAAAATCCACGCTTTTGTTTTTTATTATCTGCTTGCGAGAGCTAACTTGCTTCTTGAGTTATCTTGAGTTTAAATAAATGAAAATGAGGTGTTAACAATGAAATACGATAAAAAGGAAACATGCACACTTATTTTCATAATATATTGCTACACACATTTGTATGTACATATGTATATGAAATATATAAGTATATGTAAAATAAATTAAATATTCAGGAAAAATTGCTTTACGCATGTAGATGGACAATGTATGCATATATACAAAAATATGTCTATGGGTACATACCTATGTATATAAACATAAGAATTATATACATACATTTTTATAGTATGATATATTGCATGTACCTTGGATTAATCACTGTGTTTGTAAAGAGAAAATTGAATTTTATAATAAACAAGTTCGAAATTACTTAAGCAGTTCGGAATATCTTTGTTTAATGTTTATAAGTTGACTTTGTTCAAAATATTTTTTTATATTGCAATTGGCAGCTTCCTCATTTGTAAACCCTTATAGCATAATATCTTAAATTCGAAATTTTTTTTTGCAAAAAAAATTTCGCTTAATTTGATGTTTCATGGTTTTCTTTCAGAATTTGCATCTTTGTATATTTATAGCCGTGCGTCTACGAAAAAAAAAAAGTTATTTCGCACTCAGTTATTTAAATAAAAATAAAATTTTGTTTTATTTTTTCTTGCTTTTTATATTTTTTTCTTCTAGACACTTTCTTGGTGGTATCGTCAAATATTAAATAACCGACAAAGCGTTGTAAGAAAGTGAAACTTTTTAGTCGGAATGAATTATGGCTTTATTCACTTCGTATGCTTGTATTTAATTTTATTATTAAGAAAAAAATCGAAGAATATAATAAATATTTAATAAAAAGAATATAGAAACAGAAAGAAAATGAAAAAAAAAATATTTAAATCTTTCGAATTTTTGTTTTCTGTTTTCTTGGTCAAGCTAATTTTGTAATTTTCATACTTTACAGGAGGTTTTCTTAATTTAACCATACATGTGTACATTATGATAAAATTTGAAATAAAATTGTTTAACTTGTAACAAACGAATTAATAATTTCAAAATCTTTGTTCGTGTTTACAAAAAAATATTAAACAGCATTTTTTTCTTGAATTTGTTGAATATTTTTTCATTTACATATGTATGTTACGCGTGTGATAAAAATATTTTTAACATTTCGCATAAAATCAAGTTTTCTTAAATTGCGAATAAGAATACAAATAATTAGAAAGAATAACTAAAGTAACTAAGATTACTATAAGAATTTTTCGAACAAGACATTGGAAAGAAGACAATAATAACACATGATTTAATGTCTAATTGGAAATGCATATTAAAATACATATTTATTTTAAAAGGAATTGAACTTTATGTATTATATTAAGTAAATAAATAAGCAGTACCTGTAAATTGAATGGAATTTCATTGTAAATTAAATTAAATTAAATGAAAAGCGCAATATAGATTTAACAGGAATGCGAAATTTGTGCACCATTTGCCTTATAGGATTATATTATGTAACTTACGAAAATTATTAAATACATTAGTACATAAAGATGATAATGATAGTACTTATAAGAAAAATATTTAAAATTCAGTAGGATAGAAAAAAACCCATTGGAAAATAGGGAACAAATTTAACCACTTAAAAAGAAAAAATTCACAATTATTCGAAAGCAACTCGTGAACAGATAACAAAGAAATATGCAGTTTATGAAAACAACTACTATATGTGAAGTGACACAAAAATAAAAAGTTACAGCAAATACGCTTAGGTTGAAAGTATATAAAATTAAAAAAAAATTAAGGTAATGAAGAAAAATTACGGTAACAATTAAAAATACAGAACCAAAATTAGAAATAATACTGATTTGGAATTCATGAAATTAAATAAATATAATGGTTTGGAATAAAATATGAATTTTTCAGCAAATGTCTATTTGAAAATACAATATAACCAGGTATAAATTTTTATTTTATTAGGGGTTTCCAAATATTTAAAGTACAAGCCCTGGAATTTAAAATATTAAATAAAACATAATTTTTTCAAAACTGAATGCGGATTGAAGAAAAACTTTGAGGTTTGAGCGAAAACGGGAACTGCAAGATGTTTACAAGATATTTTTAAATTTTAAAAAATATATTTATCTTTTAAAAGTAAAATTACAATTAAGTAATTAGGTACAAAAAGAAATTTCATTATGAAAAAGTTATTTTCTCTAAAACATCGTATTTTTTATTCCAAAAACTATCAAATTTTTTCTAAATTAATTAAATATTTGTACCTTACCAAATTTTAATAAACATTTGCAGTTTATGTACATAAATTTACGTTAAATTTCAATACAATAAAATCAAAAGACAAAAAAGTTTATTTTTCTTAAGAAACTTTTTTCAAAATATTAATTTTAAAATTAAATTTCAAAATATTAATTTGATGTTAAAATAATAACTTAAAATACTTATATAAAACACTTCCTTTAACAAAGAAGCTGAAAAACATCACAAGTTACAATATTTACAAATTAAGTATATATATAGCATCGTTTGCTAAATCCAACCAAAAGCACAAAATATTATTAATTGTAGTATCACTCACAAAATAAATTTTTTAAGCCAGGAATTGAATCAATAGAAATATAGTAGTTTCTTCTAAGTTATGTGCACATACACATTTGAGTTTGTCTTTAGAACTTTAATATGTTATCTTAGCTGCAAAAATATATACTTATATTTTTTTGATTTCTATTGGTTTACTTTATATGAATATGGTCAAAAAAACAAAAACAAATATAATATTAATAAAATTTAAAATGAATTAAACGTCAAATTCAGTATGTCAGTACAGTATGGTCATATCATGTTTTCGTTTTTGAACCTTAATGGCCTGAAAAGTGTTATAAGAGATAAGTAAATAAAATAAATAAAACGGGAAAGATTATTCTTTATGAAAGGTTTCATTGTTGCTTGAACAATACAGCAAAACTTCAATAATGTTTGTGTTTTTGAACAAAGATGCAGAATTGGCAATGTTTATCAGTAAAGTAATTTATAAAGATCATACATTATGAAATATAATTTGAGTTACCTAAACTATTTTTTATTTCTCTTTCAACAGATAGAAAAAAAGCTTTGCAGAGTTTGAATTAAAATACAAATTAGATTTTTATATCAAAAATGTTTGTTTTTAAAACGTTAACAATTATGTATTTATGTATTCATATTTTGAAAATTTTTCGTACCGAAAAATATAACCTTTTTGAAAATCGAAAAGTCATATTCCGCTTTATAAACGTATAAAATAATTTTCTTTCAATTGTATTTTAGAACACGACTGCAACGTAATATTTAGAAGATACGAAAAATTAATTTACAATTACAATTGTTTAACATTTTAGCAAAATTCCGTCAGTTTATATGATACAATGTTAATATCAGCTTCATATTGTGTGGAAATCTAAACGACAAGCGTCAACGAGAACTACTTAATGTAACAATATTTTTTTAAAGATAAATTCATATGTTATTTGACTAAATGACTGAAAACAGAAAAATGATTGTCATTTTTTTTATAATTTGTATTTTAAAATTCATTTAATTAAAATTGTACACAAATGCTTTCAAGTGATTACCATTCAAATATATTTTTTTAAAAAATATGTAACGCAATTCACATTTATTTTAATAAATATTTCATTTATATAGTTTCCATTTCAAAACAAAATTCTTAACTGTTCACAAAAATATTTATGTTTTACTTAAATATAATATACATATATAGGTAAGTAGGAAACAAAACCTTATATTGTTCTCGCCGTGCACCGGAATATAATAATTTATTTTTAAGTATAATGCAAATAATGCCAATAATTTTTTTGTATTTAGATCCTGATACTATATTAATATAGTATCAGGAAAAATTACTTTTAAAACATGAATTCTGCTGATCCAAAAAAGCCAATCCTTATATAACTAGTATTTGTTTAAATTAGCAACTAAATATGTTTTAAAGAACTAACAACTGCATTACAATATACAGAAGTTAAGAAATGTTTTGTCTTAAAACCTATTAGTATGAATAGTAATTTTATGTTCAACATCGCTTATAAATATAAAAATTGAATAAAGGAAATATATCTATGAAGAAATTTATTACAATTTAGGCAGGAAAAATATTTTTATTTACGGTGATATTTATGAATTCAAAATAAAATAAAAAAGGGTCGGATAAATAAAATAACAATTTCCATAAACCTATTGTAAAAGAATTAAAAATTCATATAAACACTTGACAAATAATATTAAGTAACCAATTATAATGCTGACCCTTTTTGTAAATTTTCCTAAAGGATTTTTGAATAAAAGAAACCAATACGATGCATTAGCTGAAACTTATTTAAAAAATTCTCTAAGTATGAATTTTGTAAACACAAGAGAGCAGGTGACCTTAAAAAGTAATATTAAACATCATTCATAAAAAAAAAAACGAAATTTAAGGTAAAAATATTGAATATATTTTAAAGATATATATATATTCTACAACTATACACTTATTACTACATCTATATTCTTAAAAAATTGTAGATTCATTATCTTTTTTCGCGAAGTTAAAATGGTACCATTTATAATTATTTCAACAACAATATTAAACACGAACAAAAGCAAAAGCTTCGCTCAAATAATAATGGAAATAATTTCAGCAGAATAATGTACTATATATAACAAACGGATTCCCGACGGGAATTTTAAAAATTAGATTATAAATGTAATCTAAAAAATTTAATTTTAAGTTCCTCAAGCATAGTTTTCATAAAAATTATTAAGAAAGAAAATCAGATTTGCTAAACTAACCTGCGATAGCCATCCATGGATAAAAGGTATGATTGCTTGCCTGATGTAAACCAGTAGCAGCCGTTTGAGCAGCTGTAGCTCCAGATATTGTACAATTTGTATTCCATGCGCTGCCAGCAACAGCACTAGCAGCTGAGCCTCCACGATGGGAACCAGGACTGCCACCAGATGTATCTAAATAACCGCCAACTCTTGAATCTGGGGTACAGGCAGAAGGTCTGACAGGTCCACCGCCAACTGAAGTATTACCTTGACCGCCAGCACCACTGTTGCCGCCACCACCGCCTCCACCACCTGCTGTACTGGAACCGTTTGATCCACCTGTATTCCAAACATCTTTATAACCATTTGTGTCTGCTGTGTTTTTGGCACAATCTTGCTTGTATGCTCCATCATAAATTTTACTACATGCTGCTGTTATACTAGCGTCATATGGTGAATCTTGTGTCGAACGTTGTAAATGATGATTAGCATATGGTGCCATACCCAGTGATAATGGAAAACCACGATATGCGGCAGCCGCTGCTGAAGCTGTTTGATCATGATGTGAACCAGCACCCATACCCATGCCGGTACTCTGATGCGGATGGCCATAAAAGCCAGTTTGTTCAAAATATGAGTTCATACTGCTTGCGGTAAGAATTTTGGCGGTTTATTTTTTAACTTTGGGGTGTGAAAAAATTTATGTATTTATATATTTTTGTATATATATATATTATAATTAAATATATATATATGTATATGCGTTTCTTTATATATATTAAGTTTTAATTTTAAGTATTTAGTAGTAGAAAATTTTAATATCTTCTACTTTTTTTGTAAAATAAAATTAAATGTTAAACTTTCTATGTTGATGATTGTTCAAAAATAATATTTGTAAATTAATGAGACTAATATGAATTACAATACAACTAATTAATTAATTTTAAAAGCACGAAAAATACAATAAATATAATAACTTTAATTTTATTTTAATATACATATATTATTTATAATTTAATCTCATTTCATTTAATTTTTATTTTTTATAGCAAAATTAAGTGCCCAAAACATAAGTTCTATTTATTTGTTAAAAGTAATAAAATAAATATGTTTTCAAAGATCACAACAAATCGTTTAGAAGTTCATAAAATGTTGACATTTTTATAGCATTTACGATTTAATAAAATGAAATTCAATTAATGGTACGATGTGCATCCAACAAGTTTCGGGACTTTGTAGAAAACGAAGATTATTATTTAACTAAAAACTGTTAAATGGTCGTAAAATTTACGATTATATGGTAATAAAAAGAACATAAAAAATTATTTTTTCTTCTTTGATTTTTTTTTCTCTTTTATTCTGTATTCTGCATGCTTAGCTCTCCTTTTCCCTTATAAGAATCAAATTATTGATGTTTTACTTTTTTATTATTTATTTATGTTTTATTTTGTTTATTTTCTTTTTAACAAATTGTAATTAATGACACTTTTCACCTCTAATCTTTAGTTTAAAAATTTAATAATTTTATTAAAATATATTTAATATATAAATATATATACATATATATATATATATATATATATATATATATATATATATATATATATATATTATTTGTATATGTGTATAAGAATATATAAATATACACATGTATTATATTAACTTAATTAATTTCATTAATTTCTTAATTTTTCAATTAATTAAAATAAATTTTAATATTCTTATATGCTGATAACATTTGTAAATATTATTATGATGTTTCTCTCTTTTCAGAAAAGACGAAAAAAATTATTAATATGCATATATTTCTTTCCTTTATTTACCCACAAAAATGTGCTTTTTATTAATATTTTTTATTACTATTTTAATGATAATTATGGCCGATTAAATTTAATTTTATTTTGATTATTCAGAAACACACTGTGATTTTTTTTTTATTTTTATGTTTATTGTTACTATTATCGTATGAAGCTCAACCACACAAAGCAACAAAATATAGATTTTTTATATCTTATAATATGTGTGTATAATCTTCTTCAGTGTATATATGTACATATATATTAAGATATATATATATATATATTGTATATACAAAAGAAATTATAATAATCATAAAATTTCATAAAATTTCAATAAAAAGAGAGAAGAGAGCGCGCCTTAACTAAACCGCTGCCATTGAACGAATGATGTGAATCCGTCCGTTTCATATACACTTTGTTACGATTTTGCTTTTACTGAAAAATATAAAATAATAAAAATAATAAAAATAACAATATAAAGCATAACAAATATAAAACAAACAAAAAAAAGACATCCTAAAATTCTTTTAATGGTTTAATAAATGTAAAGATAGATAGATATTTTAGCTGTATAGCAAAACAGCAACGGCAATACATCAGTATTGTGAGTATTTTAAAGCATTTAAAAGTACCCTACAGAATAACCATTATTATATACATTAACATTTATTTTCATATAATATTATTGTGCTTTCCCATACATGTGTATGAATACAAAAATATAATTACGTATATACAAAAATTTAGACACATATATAAGTGAAATTGGCCGATGAGAATAATAATTTTTTATTGGAGTATGGGAGTACCTATAAAACATGTGAATTTTCCCGTAAATTTTGAGTAAAACGCGCGCAGCAGTTTATGTATTTTTTTACTTTTAGCTTTATTATTTTTTTGTTTTGTTTTTGATTTGTTTTTATTTTGAAATATTACTCATTCTATATTACGGAAGAGAAATATAAAGATGACTTTTTAGCACTTTAAAATGTAGTAATTTCAAATATATTTTATTTATATGCATATAGATATGTACATACACATTAAATTTATATTTTGATAGGTACCAAATGTTTAGAGAAAATAGAAAGAGAAAAAAAGAAGGAAATTCAAGTTAAAATAAAATACAATATAGCTATGTATTTTATTTTGGCATTTAATACAGAAAAATTGGGGCGAAATTAAATTTAACTTATAAATACATATTTATGTACATATCTAAATATATCTATAAACATAAAGTTTATATACACACATACGCCTATACATTCTTTTATATGCACTATTGTAAATATCTATATTTTTTTCTTTTTACTTTGTTTTTATTTTTACCGTAAGTAATATATCTTTAGATTTATTTACACAGAACAGAAAGAAAATTGAGATTTTAAGGTTGTGTTGAGTTTGTACTTATGAGAGCAATGAACATTGTTTTCTTTCTCTTATCTTTCCTTTGATTTTTCTCTCTTATTTCGACTATCATTCACAATTTATACACATTAAGTTTGTTTATTGAGAGAAAATTAATTCAAAGGGAAAATAAAAACTGAATTCGCTCACATTATATTAATTACTCATTTTCTTTTGAGTGTTTTATGATTTTTGTTTAAAAATACATTATATTTATTTGCTAGCTCTTTTATTTTCAAATTATAATATGTAAATATAAATTTGAAAAACATTTTTTACTCCGAATATTTTATTTAATAGTTAAACAGTTATGTTGGGATCTGTTATTGAATTTAGTGTTATAATCCTGAATGTAAATTGCTATGCTCACAATTCCTAAACATATTACATTTAAGGTGAAGTATAAAATAAAGAAAGAGATCATAAAATATTTTAGATTTTTTCACAGAAAATGATTACATTAAAGTAATGACAAATTATTTTCTATATCGTTTTTTTTCACTCAAGTAATTATATTTTTCATTCATTTATGATTTATGAACTCTCTTTATAATTTTCTCGTAATTCTTGTTACGCACTAAATATAAAAATTTGCTGTATATTTATAAAAATTTTCAGAGTTTTATCAATGTGTATCGATATCTATAACAAGTTGTGAAAAATATAGAAAGAATTAAAAAATATGTGAAGAAGCCAATCAATATTTTTTTTTTAATATTAAAGACTTAAATTCTTTATAGTTTGAATTAGCTGCAAAGAAGATAAATTATATACATACTATGTAAATGTTTACAATTATATTAAATAATTATAGTTATTGCTTTAGAAAATAATTGTATACAATATTAATTTTGAACCTTTTAGGATTTTGAGATGTGTAACTTTGAAAGTTTGGTTAGTTTTTATTTTGTAAAATTAATTTAAACCAAACAACAACACCTATAAATTAATTTTTAATTCATACAAAGTTTTAAAACTTTAAATTGTTCATTCAACATTTATCAAGCTTTCAAGCGGTTAGGTATCGCATATAATTTTTTAATGCATAATGTAATTTATTCGATTATGTAATTTATTACCATCATTTAATACCATCATTTATTTTCGCTTTTTATTTTAAATAAATTGGCAATAATTCTGATGTAATTTAAATTTTTGTTAATTCTGCAATTATAACTTACATAATACTTTAAATTGAATTATGTCAGAAACAGTCCATGCGACCACACCTGGAACAAGCTCTTGAAATGAATCAATTGTTAAAAGCTTTTGTAAGTACGTATATATTGTTCCGGGTACAATTATTGACATCCTTAAACGATATTTCTCATAAAACTTTTCTAAGCAGAATTATAAAAACTTCAGTAAAATATAAATTGAATATTCCTCTTTCAGAACCATGTACCAAAATTTATCAAATATTAAATAAAGGTATTAAAAATTAAATTTATTTGCGTCCATACCAAAATGCACAATCATTGATTGACATGGCGTAATTGTACAATTATTGGCACTCAAACATAACTGTTGGTATAAAAGTAAAGTATTAAAAAAAATAATCATTAACACCTCAACTTTATAACTTTTACATAACTTTTTTTGATTTTCATTATATAAATATGTTCAAAATTAAAGGTTCATTCATTTCAAAAGTGTTACAATAGCATAAGTATCGCAGGAACCTTAAATATTACCGAATTTACATATTTAAGTTCTTAATGATTTTCAATACTTTTTTGCTTAAAATAAATTCTGTAATATCCTTTTTTTTATTTATAGAAATTAAGAGCCTACTAAATATGAAGAAAATATTAAATAATTAGAATCCATCATTAATTTTTCTAACTAATAATTCGACGGTTTTGAATACAACTATTGTATCTCAAAAAGATACGTTTTCTGAAACGCAAAAAAACTTCTCATTTTGTTATACCGCTAAAAATTTATCTTTTTTTTATTTTAATTCAAGTATTTAAAATTAAATTTTTCTGTTTTTAATACCAAAAAAATGGCAATTTACACTGTAAGTCGAAATACAACCGCGAAGTAAAAAAAATTTTTTTGTATTTATGCTTACAAGAAAAAACATCCCACAAACTGTGTTCGATATTAGTTTATGTCGATTTGCCATGTTTATAGTGTTTTCAATGTTTTAAAATGTGGGAAGAGTTAGAACACGCTCTCTTTATAAAAATATTCTAACTCTTTTTACAAAAACTTAATATTTTGTGATTATTATTGTAACTTTAGTTAAAACTTATATTTTTTCAAGCAATATAAATCTAAGTCAACAAATAATAGAAGTTTTACGATATCTTGTTAATGTAAACCTCTTTCTACAAATTTAGCTTCCGCAAGTGCAAATACAATATTTGAAAGTCTCTTGAACAGCTTACAACAAAAGTTTTTTTTATATTTGTGGAATTTCTATTAAAACTATAGGTTTACAAAAATTTGTAGGTACATGCTCATGGTTGCAGAGCATTCACAGAAGCAGGAAAAACTTTTATTGCAAGTGTACTTAGAATAGTTCTATTTGGAGTCGTCGAATAATAA